CGTCCCCCAGAAAGAAGATATTTCTGTTACTTTTTGCTGTACAACAAACTACCCCAAACTTAGTGGCTCGAGATGACAACAACGGTTACCTGCTTATGATTCTACAACTTGAAGAGCGCTCAGGCAGGATAACTCAACTCTGTCCCATGTGTATTGGCTGGCGTCTCTCAAGCTGCTGCTCTCAGGTGGGGAAACGTCCACGAAGGTGTTGTCCACATGGCTTGCTGTTGGTGCCGAATGAGAGCCGGTATGCCTTGATTTTCCTCCACGGGGCCTTTCTTCCTCCAGTAGTCTGCATTGGCTTCCTTACCAAATAGTAGCCAATTTCCCAGAGGAAGGTCCCAAGGGGACCACTTGTGCAAGCGCTTATCCAGTGTCTGCTCACGTCATGCTTTCGAATGTCTCATTGGCCAAACAAGTCACATGGCCAAGCCCAGAGTCCATAGGGGAGGGGACCACACAGGAAAGTGGTTTCCTGGGGGCCACTGATGGAACAGTCTACCCCAGAAGGCTTCATGGGGTGTCTGAACCCACTGATAGCCTCTCCCAGGTAACTAGATCTGGCTATGTTCCTACCCACCCCTCTAGAAGCACCCACCCTCCCTCTAGAAGTCCCAGCCCAGAAGGTGGCACTGGAGAGAGAACACCAGGACAGGAGGGAAGGAGCAAGAACCTCCTTCTATTATATCAGAAATTTACCCTCTGTATTACCATCTATGTGGCATCAATACCAAGAGGCATCAAGCCCAAGCAGGGTCCCCATCTCAAAAAGAACCCCGCTCCCCTCTACCTCGCTATTATAGCTTCATTCTTTGAAGGGGATAAATTCATGTCTGACTGGAATAGAGACATGTATACTTAGTATGAACCAGAGCCCTGCTGCGTGTGATTCGGTTTGTCATACACAATTATAATAGGGTCTTTTCAAACCACTGTTGGCCAAGTAGAACTTGAGGGCAGTTCCCACGGAGTTAGTCAAACAGGCTGAAGCAAAGTCTCAGAGCGAAGAAGAGCATCCTTCTCATGGATTGGTCAAAAACATTCCAGCTGCTGTGAAGGGAAGTCCTCAGTAGATGGCAGGATGTAGAGCTAACAGAGGGCTGGGACTGCGGCTGATGGGGAGCAGCGTGCAGGCTGACTGTACAGGGCAGCTGAGCTACGGCACCCCCCTCCCTGGTCCCTACCCTTTTCTCTTTTCCCTAATCCCAGCGATTTTTCTAGCGGGATAGAATCCAGAAAATCTTGTTCTTAATCGTGACTTTCTCCTCTGTCTTTTGTCCATAGGGGTTCAGGCTTTGGAACTCAAAGGCTTTTGAGAGGTCCCCCTTCTCTCCGCTTTCTCCTATCACATTCTTTCCCGAGGGAATGAATCCAGAATGACTAGCCTAATTGAAGGGGGCAAAGGGCCAAAGGAATTATCACAGGGAGAAAATTCTGTTGACATTTTCTAAAAATTCTTATCCCATCACATAAGTATGCATAACCTGACCGTACAGTGAAACTTATATTGGTCTCACCCCATTGAGTGGGTTCAACCTTGACTAACAAACCCCTGTATTGTCTTTATTGTCTTTGTAAATTGAAGAACCTCTCCAGGCATTTTTATAGAGAGAGTGGGCTGTGTAGGAGGCACCTGACTCTTGGAGTCAAGATTCTGGCATCCAGAAAGGAAAAACGAGGTAACTCCCCTTACAAACATTGTCCATTGGCAAGTGCAGCTTTCGCAGGATAGGGAATGACATGATCAAAATTGGATTCAGGGAAGATTAATCTTCCATAGTAGGCTGGCTTGGGGGTGGGAGGTCTAACAATAATACCCACAAATTATAACAGCATCAAGGGTGAACCTGTAGTAGGCATTTGATGTGATCAAGTGCGAGGCAAAGTATTGTTTTCCAAAGTATGCAGGTAAGGGAACGGAAGTTAAAGAGATCCAGACATTTGCCCGAGTATGAAACTGCAAACAGGTGGTAGATTCAAGATCAAATTCAGATCCATCTGACTCGAAAGCCCCATGTCTGTCTGTTCAGAGACTATTACAGTAGTACAGATAAGAGATGTCAAGGCCAGAACTAGGGCAGGGAGGCGCATACAGAGAAGGAATCAGGGCGCCAGATGACCTGTGTCAGGAAGAAGTAGGAGAACAGTGTCGGGGACCTGAACTTGGGGCAAACTGAGCGGAGGCGCTTTGGAGTCCTACCCGCCTGGACCACCCACCATGGGCATTAACTTGGGTTGTGCCATGAGCCCAGAGACAATGATGGAAGGTGGCCGCTCCAAGGAGGCAGACGGACCAGGAAGAGCACAATTCAATCCAGTTTTACTGGTGGAAACTTGATCATTCTGTTTTGTTTCAGGAAACTGATGAATCCTACACATTTAACTGGCCAGAAATGATGAGTAACTATCCACTTATTTAAATCCATGTCTTCATTCATGCATTCTTTTATTCAAGAAATTGGGGTGGGAATGTATGGCATAAACAGAAAATAGGAAATCCTGGGAAAGTCATTAGTTACTGTTTCATAGTAGTAGCCCAGACCTGCTAGAACCTGCTAGCCACCTGAAGCTAGACCCAACTCATCCCTTTCCTTTGGTTTCCACCACTGAGCATAGCACCTCGCACTCAGCAGGAGCTTTGAGATAAGGATGTTGACAGTGTCATCCATGAGACATCACACTACCTGCGTCCAGACCTTAGACCTTGGAGGGTCATGGGTCATTGAGCAAGTTATTGAATGTCTTGGTGATTCTGTTTCTTTATCTGAAAGATGGAGATAGTAACGGGACTTACCCCACTGGATCGTTCAATGAGTTTAATGTAAAGTTTATATAAAATAAAGTCAATAAGTTTTATGTAAAGGACGTAAAGCAGTGCACTCCAAAAGTGTTAGTTGTTGTTGTTGTTGTTATTATTAGTACAGCACCTGCTTCCCATTCAGAGCAAATACCTTACCTTGCATCTGCCGCAGGGTCCCAGCATTGGTGCATGGGATGAGTGGGTACTAGACACAGGGCTTTGTTAGACAAAAGCTTCAGTTCACTGATCTGAAGAAGCTCATGGTTCTTCGCACCTGCTTGCTTCTACCTTTTCAGCATCCCCTCCTATGATGCTGTTTGGCTCTGTGCCTAGAGTGGGTCTGTGTTTGGGCCTGGGGCCTTCCTCTTTGAAAATGTCTCCATTTTAGCCAGGCACCTCCTCCTCTCCTGGGAGACCCTCGCTGATCCCTGCTTTGATCCCCTCAGCTATGTTGAGAAATGCTACTTTGGCTTCTGCTTCCAACCTCTCCTTTTAAGGGGGCCCATAGAGGGTCCAAGAAAGGGCTCTGACTCCCCAGGAAGGCAAGTGGTGTGGTAGCCCTGGCTGACATTTGGGGGGAGAGCCCTGGAAGCACCCTCTCCTGCACCCCCAGTGGTCACCCCTCCCCTTTAGAATTTCCTGCCGGCAATGACTTGACCTCCTGCTTTGGAGAAAGCCATGGTCACGTGGTACAGGAAGTTTCATCCTCCAGCCTCCTCTCCTGCCTCTCCTCCATCAGTCAACCTCACACTCCCCCATAATCCACACGTCTCCTTCCTCTTTGCTGAGGTCACCCCTTCCGCTCATCCATCAAAATCTTAGAGGGATTTTCTTCGTGGCTCACCTTTGCACACCCCCGGTCTTCCCTCCCTCGTCCTCATGCTCCTCTGGTTCACTTCCATTGGATGCAAACCTACAGCGTTGGTGCTCTATGAAGAGGCTGCCCTTGACCGCACTGACTCTTGGAGCCTGCATCCCACGGCGTTATGTCCTCTTCCGTTTCAAACCTTTGGACCTAGAAGTGGTTATTTCCTTCAGGGATGACTTTCCTCTCTCCCATTTCCACCTCATGGCTCTACTGAAAATGCTCTCAAAGGTCCTCAGAAAAACCCTAACCTCCAACCCAATGACTATTTCCTAATCCTTAACCCTCCAGGCCTCTCGGGGGCATGTGTCCCCACTGAACACACACTCCCCTGAAAAGCCTGCCCTCCGATGGGTCGCCTGGTGCCTCACACCCCTGCCCCTGCTACCCCTCCGAAGGCTCTTTGTGTTCTTCGTGGGCTCATTCCGCATGCAGCCCAGGACTCTCTTGACGCGATCACATCAGCAAATCTCTGATCTGTAGCTGCCCCCAGGACCCTCCCACTTGGCATCGGACTGTATCAAACCAAGAAGTTTCAAACTACATGATTTGGCCCCAGCCCAACCGGCTTTCCCTCTTTGCTTCTGTACCTCTCTCAGTAACACTTCGGTGTTAGAGGAACTGGGGCTCGTAGTCTGGATGCCCTCTCTGACTTCCAGGTCCCTGAGATGGACAGGTTGCTCCCTCAGGGCCTCTTTCCTTTTCCCATCACCGCCACCCAACCAGAGCCTCCACGCTTACCCCTGGATGACCACAAACTGACCTCCCCCTTCTCAGACTGCCCCAGGTGTGCCCCAGTTAGACATAAACCCTGCCTTGGGCGGTTACTGAGGGGCTTCAGGCATTCAGGTCCCATTTCCCCCAGACTAGGGGCCTCTACCGCTTTGCAGAACTTTCTAAGGGCAGGGACCGCATTGATTTTGCCAGCACTGAATGGAGAGGTGTGCGTGTTAACGTGGGTGACCATCTTCAGGGCCAGCCCCCCCACCACGATGCTCTGTTTATTCCCCCAGTGATCCCAAAGTTCTCAGTGCAAAATAAAAATATTACATTTTTCTGAATGGTCCTCTTTTTTTTTTTTTTGCCATAGGAAAAAGAATACTTTCAAAAGCAAAAAAATGAAAGTTGGAAAGGTCTTAGTTTTGCTGCCATTAGCTAAAAAAAAAAAAAAGACTGATTAAAGACGAAATGTGCCCATGAGTCCGTAGGAGGTGATTAAGCAGTCACACTCCTCGCCCTCGGGGAGGTCATTACCTTAAAGAATGCAGCAGTCTTTGCCGTTCCTATTAATGGTATATATTGACTCTATCTATTTTTGAAATCCCTTTTCTAAAGGATGCAGCACGTCCCCCAAGGCCACCAAACACTGCGTGGCCCAACCCAACCTCAGTGATCAAGGTGATGACCCGTGGGCTACCCAGAAAGCCTGATGCCTGGATCATACTTGACCTCACAGAGGTAAACAGTGAGACTCAGTCTGGAGGGACCAAACATTCACAGAGGGTGAAAACACAGGTGGCAGTGACTTCAAGAGGAGACAGCAGACTCCAGGCAAAGGGCTCAGCAGGTGCCATGGGCTCGAGATGATTCAGAAGACTCCGAGGTGTCAGCGGACCGGAGGCGGTATGGCTGGAAGCGAGCCCCGCTCTGAGACTTGGTAGCTGAGAGCCTTTGGGTAAATCATTTGTCCCTGAATCTTAGTTTCCTCATCTAAAAAAAAAAACAAAAAAAAACCCACACCTCCCTTGTTGAGCTACGCAGGATTGAAATACCACCAAACAGGATTATTTTGTGCTGGGCGTAATTCCAAACATCTACATCCATTAAATCATTTAATCCTCTCCACAAACCTCTGAAACAAGTAATATTATCGTGTCCATTTCAGACTGGAAGGAAATGAAGAATGAAAGGGTAAGTAACTTGCCCAAGGTCACCCAGCTAATTGATAACGGATCCAGGAAGCGTCGAGCATAGTGGAACAGCTGCCCCAAAGGTTTGAGTTAGAAGACCAGCTTGCAGGAGATGACAGAGCAATGACATCTGTGACACTTCTCTGGTCTGCGGAAAGGCAAGGACCATCCTGTCAAGTGCTGAAATCAAATTGTTCTGTTTTTTCTTTTCCCTTCATGGGATTGAGTCTGGTACGAGTGTGTGTGTGTATGATTGTGTTAAATGTGAGAGTGTGTGTGTGATGGGAACAAGGAGGCTCGGGGATGGGGTGACCACCCCACACATCTCTGGTCTCCCCATATTCACCGCCCCCTGCCCCTCTGCCTTCAGACATGCGCAGGTGAGCAGAGCCTTGGGAAGATTTGGCCTCTTCCTGATCCCTCTTCTTACTATCGCCCCATTTCTCCTCCTCCAAATGAGCTCCAGGTTGATCTGTTTCATACTCTGGGCGTCCAGTTTAGGTCTTCTTAGGGAGGAAGGACTTCTACTGCTTTATAAAGACTTTAAAAATCGCCAGTGGATGCATATTTTGTGCCCAAGGATATTTTAGACCAACTAGACTTTCCAGAAGGGCTGAGCTGCGAACAGTTGGAGGTTAGAGCCTCTGATGAAAAAAACCTAAACATAATAATAAAATAGATACCTTCATTCATTTGCAAGCATTTATGAAGTGGCTTTTATGTACCAAGACTCAAATTTGCCAGGATGCTGTCCTGCCTCCCCAAGGGCTCACAGCATAGTAGGAAGACAACACATGAAGAGTTGTGGTGTGAGGCAAAGAAAGAATGTGTTGGGAGGACCACCAGGAGGGGGCTACGGAAGACTTGCACCCATTAACCAGCACAGAAACTGCTAGAACACGTGCCTTGATCATTTGCTTGTGCAGCAGCCCTGCTAGAAATAAATCCCACAGCCAACTTCACTTACCTTAAGACTCTAGAAATTCTCCACTCGAGCTTTGCCAGGATTGATCCAATTGGTTACTCTGTTTCCCTAATACCAACACAAAGCGTGAAAACTGGGTATCAGCCCTTAATTTACATTTTTCACCATCAAGGTACTGGACTTGGTATTGGATTCATATCGATATAGATACACACAGCATGAGACACACTGAGGTTTCCCTTCCGGTCAGAGCAACCATGAGAGGTGGGGACAGATGATGAGCTGAAGAGTCAAAGGTAGTTTCTTCGCTTTGAAGGAGCCAGGGGTTGGTGAGGTCGGGAGTCCTTTTTTTCTTCTTCTTTCCTTATTTTAAGGTGGAGCCCCGTGATGAGAACAGTGCCTTAATAAGGACAGGAAGAGACCATGCCACATGAGGGCACAGCAAGAAGGTTACTGCCCGTGAGCCAGCAAAAGGGCCTTCACCAAACACTGAAGTTGCTGGTGCCCTGACCTTGGACTTCCCAGCCACCAGAACTGTGAGAAATGTCTGGTTTTAAGCCACCCAGCCTATGGTGTTTTAAAACAGAAGCCTGTGGGGGCGCCTGGGAGGCTCAGTCAGTTAAGCATCCGACTCGGTTTCCGCTCAGGTCATGATCTCGCCCGTCGTGGGACCGAGCCCCACACTGGGCTCTGTGCTCGGCGCACAGTCTGCTTCAGATTCTCTCTCCCCTCTCCCTCCTCTCTCAAATAAATAAATTTTTAAAAAATAAAATAAATAAAAATAAAAATAAAACAGAAGCCTGTAGAAAGGGTAGGAAATTTCCCCAGATAAGAGGGTCTGATAGGTAAGGAGCTTGGAAAGTGGGCATCTTCTGTAGTCATGCCTGTTTGTAGTACCCCATCGAGTCAGTAAGGCTCTACCTTCGCTGGCCCTTGAGAGCTGAGTTTCTTTGAGTGAAACAGACTTGTGGGGTCAAAAAACTTGGTCCCTTGTGAGAAGAGATCAGAATTGAGCTCCCTCAGGGGACAGCGCTGGCCCAGCTTGGACACACAGTGGTAGGAGGGGGAGGACAGGCAGTGCCTCTGGTGGAAGAGAGAAAACATATCCCAGGACTCCTGCCTGAAGGTGCCCCCTTGCCCTCCCGCCTCCGCCTGCCCCCCCCCCGCCCGGTAACCAACAGCACTCCATTTACAACAAAATATGAATCAAGAAAGAGTGTTGGGCACACACGGTAATGAAAATCCATGATTCAACTGTGCGTTCATAATTATTTCATAAATAAATGGCTTCTGGAGAGCTGCATCTGTCTCTCGCCACCGAGAGAATGTCTTTCATTAAAGTACCCGGGCCTGCACGGAGCTGGCCTGAGAGCCCCACTCGTGGCCCCCTCCTTCTCTCCATCACTGTCCACCAATAGGTTTTTGTGGTTCAGAAAGAGCTGCAAGCCCCACACTTCTCCACAAGACTGATGGCTCGTCAATAACATTAGCCAGCATTATGGGCCGCATCGGGGTAGAGCAGAATCAATACGGCCAAGTAACAAGTCTAATAAGTTGACATGGCCATCCTCAGCAGGGCTCGCATTACAAGAAATGAGTTTTCTTAAGGAATCAGCGTCAGGGTTGCTTAGGTGCTGCACACCCAGATGTCCCGACGAAGATTTATAGCTTTGCGTTTACTTGGTGGAGCATGGTTGGCGGGGAAAAACGAAATGGTAACTGGGGTTAACTAGAGAAGAAACTGGGGACTTGGGCCATACTGCTGGCAGTGATGTGGTCCGTGGCTGGGGGAGCCTTCGTGTGACGGCACCCCCGTGAGCGGGCCGCTCCCCGTCCTGTCTCCCAGGGTGGGGTCCTGCTGAATGGTGGGTGGGAAGTCCTTCGAGGGGCCCCTGGCACCGGGCACGGCCACAGTCACCTCAGGGTGCCTTCACTGATGCCCCGCCTCCTGTCCTCTCACTCCGGGTCACCCACAGCCAGAGCTGAAGGGAAGATGCTGCCCACATTTCACTTTTATGAAAGGATATGCTCATCTTTTCTCATTTGGCTGGTCATCGGAGGGAATCCCTGTTCAATCGGGTCAGGCGACAGCATTATCGGGGGCCTTCACATAGGCTCAGCCGCTGTTGCAAGAAGCTTGCAGAGCCAGGTTCCTCCACAGATGTGCCATCGTCTTCTCAAGGGGACAGCCCAACGGTACATAGCCGTGGAGAGAGTTCCAGTAGTCACGGGAGCGCACTCGCCCAGTTAATCTTACCTTTCATGAGCTCACACAGGCCTTTCCACCTCAGGTCCACAAGCACAGACAAGGGCCAAGTGAACAGATGGGTAATTCAAGGGAATAAGAAGTGGTCTCTGCTCCCCAAATTGCTGGGGGAGTAAAGGGAAGACACAGGCTAGTGCAAAAAGAAAGAAAGAAAGAAAAGAAAGGCTATGATATGAGACAGGCTGAGATACAGGCTCATTCATTCATTCATATACAAACCAAATGTGCTGAGGACCTACTATGTGCTTGGTGCTGTTTGAGGTGCAAGACCACAGCAGTGACTAAAACAGACAACGTCCCTGCTCTGAGGGAGCTTCCATCCCTGTGGGAGCAGCAGATAATGAGCAGTTCCACAAGGGAACACATCGTTTCAGGAAAATGCTATAAAGAAAAGTAAGACAGGGGACAGAGGTAGTGTTGGATACAGATGGGGAGCTGCTGCTTCAAAGGGGGGTGATCGGTGAGTGCCTCACTGAGGAGGCACATGTGAGCAAAAACATGAAAGTAGGCAGAGAAAACAAAGCGCAAAGGTCTTGAGACAGGTGTGTTCTTGGTGTGTTCAAGGAAGAGCCCAGAGGCCAGTGTGACCGGGCCCGCGGCAAGGAGAGGGGGCCAGAGGCCAGAGTCTGTAGTGTCTCGTGCGAAGGAAAGACTGGATTTCTTTCTGCATATGGCAGGACGCCGTTAGAGGGATTTGAGTGGGGACTGACATACACAAATTTTCATTTTATCAAGTTCCCTCTGGCTGCTTTGTGAGAATAGTCTGCGAGAATGAATTCAGGGAGACAAGTTGGACTGAGGAGCAGAAAAAATGATAAGAAATAGGATCATGGAAATATCTGAAGGAAGAGCCAAAGATTTGTTTATGGAGGGGATGAGGGATGTGAAAGAGCTATATCAAGGATGAGGAGGCCAGTGTTTTTAGCCTGAGCAACTGACGGAAGCTGGTTTCTTTTCCTCCAATGGGAAGCAGGTTTGAGCAGGTGAAATCAAGAGATCGTTCGGTGCACGTTGAGTTTGAGGTGCCTATTAGCATCCAAGCGAAGATTAGAGAGTGTGACTGTGGAGTCAAGCCTGGGGCTTGGCAAGACCTGCAGAAATAAATTTGAAGCCACCTCATACTGAAGCTATTAATGTCATAATTCTGGATGGGATCCCTGAGGGAGAGAGTGTAGAGAGAGCAGAGAAGAATGGCACCAAGGACTCCAGCATCCAGACGACAGATGGGTATGGAGGGTCTGGCAGAGAAGACTGAGGAGCACGGCCAATGAGGTCATGAAGGCTTGAACGAAGTGTTGTGAGATCACTCAGGAGGGCAGTTAATTCTACCTGGAGGTGGTTGGAGTGGAATATAAACCTTGAAGGATGAGACAGTTGCAACAGTTGGGTGAGTTGGGTGGGGGTGGGAGGAGAAAATGTTGTCAGGACAGGAGGGTGGAGGGTCAGGTCAGGGAGAACACCAGGAAGAGACTGTGAGGAAAAGGGCAGGATGTCCAGATAGGCTGGTATGTGGAATTCGCGGGAAGCGAAGAGGAGAGCCCAGAATAGCAGTTTGGAGAGATCCCGGGTGAACATGAATGACTATATGTGATGGAGAAGTGACGGCAAGTGATGCCCAAACCATGTCAGCAGCCATCAGAAAACAGAGAAACCATATACCCCCGTCTACTTGAGAGTATCCATGAGCAACCTGAGCTAACGCTGGGGTGAATATCGCCCACCCTCACCCCTGCCTTCCCCAC